TAGGATGCATTTCATCAGGCCCTGGTGACTTGCAGGCATCTAACTTTCCTAAGTGATTTTTAACTTGTTCTTTTTTTATTTTATCTTCTAACCTACCCCCTTCCCATTAGCATTCACTATGTTAGTCATTCTTTCAGACTTCTAGGTGAAGACCGAAACAAAGAAGTCATTGAGCATCTCTGCCATTTCCAAGTTTCCTGTTACTGTATCTCCTTCCTCACTGAACAGTGGGTCTACCCTGTCCTTGGTCTTCCTCTTGCTTCTAATGTATTGATAAAAAGTCGTCTTGTTTCCCTTTATTCCCTTAGCCAGTTTGAGCTCATTTTGTGCCTTTGCCTTTCTAATCTTGCCCCTGCATTCCTGTGTTTGCCTATATTCATCCTTTGTAATCTGTCCTAGTTTCCATTTTTTATGACTCCTTTTTATTTTTTAGATCATTTTTTGTTGCCCTTCACTGTGCGTTTTCTAATTCCAATATACCATTTTTGAGATGAAGCAACCAGAACTGCACACAATGTTCAAGGTGTGGACACACCATGGCTGAATATAGTGACATTATAATATTTTCTCTCTTATTATCTCTCTCTTTCCTAATGGTTCCTAATGTGCTCTTAGGTTTTTTGACTGCTGCTGCACACTGAGCAGATGTTTTCAGAGAACTGCCCATGATGATGCCAAGATCTTTTTGGTGGTAACAGCTAATTTAGACCCTGTCATTTTGTTTGTATAGTTGGGTTTATGTTTTCCAATGTGCGTTACTTTGCATTTATCAACAGTGAATTTCATCTGCCATTTTGTCGCCCCATCACCCAGTTTTGTGAGATTCTTTTGTAGCTCTTTGCAGTCACCTTTGGACTTAACAGTTTTGAGTAATCATCTGCAAATTTTGCCATCTCACTGTTCACCCCCTTTTCCAGATCACTTATGAATATGTTGAACAGCACAGGTCCCAGTACGGATACTTGGGGAACCCTGCAATTTACCTTGCTCCATTGTGAAAACTGACCATTGTTTCCTGTCTTTTAACCAGTTACTGACCCATGAGAGAACCTTCCTGCTTATCCCATGACTGCTTACTTTGTTTAAGAGCCTTTGGTGAGGGACCTTGTGTGACGAAGTGGGACTGTTCTTAATGTTTCCTCTGAATACTGTGTGGGTGCCTCAGTTTCCCTTATGCATTTCTTAAGTCTCCAGTATGCATAAATGGCGGACACTCTGTATCCTGGCAACAAATGGCCAGGGCCCTTCCCCCCTGCAAGGGAATAGCTAAAGGTGAACAAAGAGATCAGGTGACCTCCTGGCCCGGGAAAGAGACAAAGGCCAGAAAGGAGGGGCTGGAGGGGTTTTCAGTTTGGAGCTGGCTGGGGACGGGAAGTGAGTGCAGACGTGAGTTGTCTGGCTCGCTGGGCCCCAGAATGAACCCAGCTGAGGGGTCCTGTTCTCTGTACCTACAAGCTCCGTTTTAGACCGTGTTCCTGTCATCTAATAAACCTCTGTTTTACTGGCTGGCTAAGAGTCACGTCTGACTGCGAAGTGGGGGTGCAGGACCCTCTGGTTTCCCCAGGACCCCACCTGGGCAGACTCGCTGTGGGAAGCACACGGAGGGGCATATGCTGAATGCTCCAAGGAGAGACCCAGGAGGTGAAGCCGTGTGAGCTTCTTGCCCTGAAGACAGTCTGCTCCAAGGGAGAGGAGGCTCCCCAAAGTCCTGACTGGCTTTGTGGGGAGCAGTTCCAGAGCATCGCCCCGGGACTCCGTGACACCTTGTCAAAGGCTTTCTGAAAGTCCAGATATACACCCTTGTCCACATGTTTGTTGACTCCCTCAAAGAATTTTAACAAATTGGTGAGGCATGATTTCCCTTTACAAAAACCATGTTGACTCTTCCCCAACATACTGTGTTTATCTCTTGAGTCTGATAATTCTGTAGTTTACTATAGTTTCATCCAATTTGCCGGGTACTGAGGTTAGGCTTACTGGGTTGTAACTGCCAGGATCACCTCTGGAACCTTTTTAAAAAATAGGTGTCACAGGAGCTACCCTCCAGTCCAGAGGCTGATTTAAGCGGTAGGTCACAGACCACAGTTAGTAGTTCTGCAATTTCATATCCGAGTTCCTTCAGAACTCTTGGGTGATACCATCTGGTCCTGGTGACTTCTTATTGTTTAATTCATCAATTTGGTCAAAAACCTCCTCTACTGACACCTCTTGGACAGTTCCTCAGATTTGTCACCTAAAAAGAATGGCTCGTGTTGGGATCTCCCTGCATATTCTCTGCAGTGAAGACCCATGCAAAGCATTCATTTAGCTTCTCCGCAGTGGCCATGTCTTCCTTGAGTGCTCCTCTAGCACCTCGATTGGCCAGCGGCCCCACTGACTGTTAGGTAGGCTTTCTGCTTTTGATATACTTTAAACATTTCTTGCTGTTAGTTTGTGTCTCCTTAGCCTAGTTGCTGTTCAAATTCTTTCTTGGCCTGCCTTATTATACTTTTACACTTGTCTTGCCAGAGTTTATGCTTCTTTGTATTTTGCTTAGTAGGATTTGACTTTCAATTTTTAAAGTATGCCTTTTTGCCTGCATCTGCCTCTTTTACTCTGCTATTTAGCCCTGGTGGCATTATTTTGGTCCTCTTATCGTTTATTTTATTTGAGGGTGTACATTTAGTTTCGCCCTCTATTATGGTGTTTTTAAATAGTCTCCATGCAGCTTGCAGGCATTTCACCCTTGTGACTGTTCCTTTTAATTTCTGTTTAACTAGCTTCCTCGTTTTTGTGTTGTTCCCTTTTTTGAAGTTAAATACTACTGTGATGGGTTTCTTCAGCATTTTCCCCCCTACAAGGATGTTAAATTTATGGTCTTTTATTAGCTTGGGTTCAGCTACACCTCTACCCCGATATAACGCTGTCCTCGGGAGTCAAAAAATCTTACTGTGTTACAGGTGAAACCGTGTTATATCGAACTTGCTTTGATCCGCCGGAGTGTGCAGCACCCCCCCACCCCCCCCCGGAGCGCTGCTTTACCGCGTTGTTCTATCCGAATTCATGTTGTATCGGGTCACGTTATGTTGGGGTAGAGGTGTATATTCACCTCTTGGACTAGATCCTGTGCTCCATTTAGGATTAAATCGGGGTGGGCAAACTTTTTGGCCTGAGGGCCAAAACTCTATGGAGGGCTAGTGTAGTGTATTAAATTGCTCCCCATAGGAATGTGCTACTTATGGTGTACTACTTATGGCTGCCCGTCCTGGTGCTCTGAGCGGCATGGTAAGGGGGCAGGGAGGTTGGATAAGGGGCAGGGGGTCTGAGGGGACAGGGAGCGGGGGGTTGGATGAGGGTGGGGTCCCGGGGGAGCGGTTAGGGATGGGGGGGTCCTGGGAGGGGGCAGTCAGGGGACAAGGAGCGGGGGGGTTGGATGGGTGGGGGTTTTGAGGGGGGCAGTCAGGGAGCGGGAAGTGGTAGGGGGCGGATAGGGGGCGAGGGCCAGGCTGTGTGGGGAGGCACAGCCTTCCCTACTCGGGGTGTATTGTATTAAATTGCTCCCCGTAGGAATGTGCTACTTACGAAGCACCAGGACTGGCAGCTGTAAGTAGTACACCGTAAGTAGCACATTCCTACGGGGAACAATTTAATACACTACTCCCGGCAGCTCATGCAGCTGCCCGGCAGGAACTCGCAGCCCTGCTGCCCAGAGCGCTGGCGGCACGGCGAGCTGAGGCTGTGGGGGAGGGGCCAGGAGCTAGCCTCCCAGCCGGGAGCTCAAGGGCCAGGCAGGATGGTCCCGCGGGCCGGGTGTGGCCCGCGGGCCATAGTTCGCCCATCTCTGGACTAAATCAAGAATTACCTCTCCCAGTCATCATCACCATCCTGGCCAGGTGGTCGGTAGTATGTCTCAGCTGTTAAATGCTCAGTGGTTAAGCGTGGAATTTCTGTCCGTAGAGATTTTATGGCACAGTTTGATTCATTTCAGATGTTTACTTTATTTGCCTCTATGCAGTGCCATCCCCCCCACTAGCGCAACCTACTCTGTCCTTCCTGTATATTTGTACCCTGCTTTTACCACTTCCCATTGATTATTCTCATTCCATCAGTTTTCCACGATGCCTCTTATAGCGATATCCTCATTCAGGTCAGGCACTTGAGTTCACCCATCTTAGAATTTAGACTTCTAGCATTTGTATAGAATTACTTGTTCATTTTGTCAATACTCAGCTGCTTGCCTTCATGTATTGTGTTTAAATGGGACTCTTTAATGTGTGACTGTTCCTCACTAGCTCCTGCCTATGCTCTACCAACTCCCTTCCTATCCTACTAGGATATAGAGCTCTCCCTTCCCTAAGGGGATGAATGTATTGAGGGGGGAAATCCCTGGGCAAGTCATTTGATGTTCTCAGTTCCCCATCTGCAGAGGGGCACTGCCTGGCTTCGTGGCGGTGAGAGGATATGTACCGTCTAGATTGTGAAGAGCTTTGTTACTATGGTGGTGGGGGCCAGATATGAATCACAGGGGGGTAAGTGGGGGAGTATCCCCAATTTACAGAAGGGGAAACTGAGGCACAGAAGTGCCTTGCCCAAGGTTGCTCAGCGTCCGTGTTGGTTAGAAGCAGAGCCTGGCTCTCCTGACTGCCAGCCCTGTGCCTTCTCCACTAGGCCACGCTGCCTTCCTGAGCTCTGCTGAGGGCAGGAAACGAACCCCAAAGTGATGGGTTTCCTTTCTCTTTGCAGATCTGGAAGAGGCGGGATGAGGACGAGACCAACCAGCAGGGGGCGTGAGAGGAGAGCAGAGTGCTACAGATGTTTACTACCATCCTCTCCAGGGAACCGGGGGAGAGACTGGGACGTAGCCCCCCCCCCCAGCTGGACGGCGCTTCTCATCCCCGGCCTAGCACAATGCACAATACGTGCCAGCAGGACTCAGCCTGATCAGCTTCTCCACCAGCCTCCGAGGGGACAGTGGGATGGATCACCCAGTGCCCTTCTGCTGCTCAGTTGGTCTCTGGCTGCACACAGGCCCCGGCAAACCTTGGCCTGTGCCCGTGGCAGAGGAAGCCGATCCTGCCTGTCGCAGACAGCTGTCTGTCTGGAAAACTCTTCAGGGAACCCAGGCTGTTCCCCTCATTTCATGTCCCACTGACGTCCCTATTCCAGCTGTACTGCCGCTGGCTGGTTGCTGGAGCAGATCGTGCCCTGGGCACAGTGACTAGCGAGGCTTGGAGCAGGAACGGCCTCTCTTCTACTTGCCAGTCCTGCTTCCTTATGTGCATTAAAGGAGTTCAGGCCTGTTTTTTATTTCCCTTGCCTGGCCTCATTGCTTCTGAAATCCCATCTGTTCAGTGCGCCTGCTTCTGTCTCCACTCAGGTGGGGCCAGGAGGGGTGTGGGATCTCACACCCTGTCAGAGAGGTGAGAAGCCTGCCATTGGCTGTTGGAGTTTGGCAGGGCTGTCCCACCTAGCCCAGCTTCTGTTCGAGTGCCCTCCCCCTCATCTGGGATGGACCCTCCTCTTCTAAACCAGGCACAACTCCTTTCCCTGCTCGGGAGAGCTCCCCCAGCTCCTATTTTCCTAAGGAGCCAGCAGGGGCCAGACCCTCCAAGGTATTTGGGTACCAAACTCCTATTGAAATGGATGGGACTTGGCACCCCAGTACCCTTGGGGGCTGGGCCTAGCTCCTCTAACTGCTCTCAGCCTCCTTCTGTTATGCCCTGGCCTCCCCTGGAGAATAAATTAAATAAATTTAAAGGTGCTGGTCAGGGTGTGGGAGCGCCCTTCAGAAGGGGAGGAGCGCTCGCCCACCACATCTGAGGGGGGTCAGAGTGGAACCACACCACTGGGGTCTCTTTGAAGCGATCCCACGAGCCTGTTGATGGAAAAGTGTGTCAGCCGCTGATGGTGGGAGATAGCAGACAGGAGCTGGTCGCTGTGGCTTTAGCAAGTTAGAGAAGTGACAGAGCTGTTTGTGTCAGTGTGAAAACAAGGCCACGTAACCTTTTTGCTGCTGGATGTTGGTGACTTTGCACACTGCAGGCAGGCCATGGAGGAGCCCCGTGGAGGGTAGTGCACGGATGGAGCGTATTCGCTCAGGAGGCTCCTTCTGAAGCCTGCTGCTTTCCCCCAGCCTCTGCTTCGGGTGTGTGGCTCCGGGTTCCCAGGGCATGGGAAGTAGGGCGGGCAGAGAGGATGATGGGACATGTTCCATCTGACCAGGGGCTTGGTGGCAGTAAGTGTTAGAACTGCCCTTCCTTTGTTTAAGCCAGCAATTCCCCCACCCTCTTGGTTACACCCTGTTGTGCTATAATCCTCCTCTTGTCCCTGCACTGGTGTAATCAGAGGCGTGGTTTGACACTGGTTTCAAATGGCACTGCGAGGCAGTGTGGCCTAGTGGATGGAGCATTGAGCTGGGACTCAAGAGACCTGGGTTCGAGCCCCAGTTCTGCTGCTGGCCTGCAGGGTGACCTTGGGCAAGTCACTGCCTGTCTGTGCCTCAGTTTCCTCATCCTTAAAATGCGTTGATGGCACTGACCTCTCTAAAGTGCTCTGATGAAAAGCCAGGATAAGAGCCAGGATTTGACTCCAAGCTACCGGCTGTCCACATGGGCTGGCACAAATGGAACTAAGCTGCTGCAAGGCTGTGTCTAGAGAGGCTCTTCGGTCACTATTTACACTGCTAGAGTTAAACGGGTGTAAACCCCTGAGTGTTGCTGCATCACAGCGGCTTATTTCCCGTCACCCTGTGCGCTCCCAGTTGCCTAGAGCTAAATCCCAATGAGCGTCTGAAACTGAAGTAAGAGCAGCACTGGTTTAAAGTCACACGTTGGATGATGCTGGCACATCTTCCACCAGCAAGGAGCTCCTAGGACCTTAGGGTCAAACGGTCAGAAACTAGGTGATTTAGGAGCCTATATCCTGCCTTTACAAGGGATTTAGGCTCCTAGGGCTGGATTTTTAACAGTGTGTGATGCAGATAGATGCCTGGTGATTTTCAAAAGTGCCATATCTGCCTCTTGAAATGCCCAGGTAACTGAAATCTGTCCTGCCCCAATACCATCCCCCCTTGCTCCTCACCCCTGGCTTGGAGCACCTGTTCTTTGTCATCACTGGTTCTCGGGGGGTTTTACACTCTGCTGCTATGACCGTGTGCATCAGAGCTGCTGTAACAGCACCAGTGAAAACCAGCAGGACTGAGTGGGAAATTCTACATGGGAGGGGGTATGTGAAAAACGGGACAATCTTCTTCATGAACCTGCTTCCTGCTCCGTTATTTACAGTTGCTGAGAACTGGGCCCATGAACCTACAGCCAGTGCAGGGAGCCTCTAACAGAGGTGTATTAAACACCCAGTGTTTGAGGGGATCGAATTGAAATTGAACTGTGAGCTTGGTGTTAACGAACAGCCACAAGAGCTGGAGAGTACTAAAACGGTGGCCAGAAAGCTAGACACCTTTTGAGAATAAGTGTCTAGGCCAGATTGTAGGCATTGGTTGGGACGGCGTCTTCCCCAGCCAGGAGATCGGAGGAACTGCCCCCCGGCAGCTTGGCTGTGCCATGAGCAGAGGGCAGCATTGGGGCCTGTTCTCACTCCCATGAGAAGCTGTCGTGTGAGGAAAGAGGGTGCCAGAGAGAAACCTTTTGAACCCGTTGCGGGAGGGCAGGGTGGGGGCATGCCGTCCCACAGAGCGACTGGAAGCAGCAGCCAACGCCAGAGAGGGATGGAGGTGCCTGGAGTGGGCCTGGCTGCCAACGCTGCCACGGGAAGGATGTTAAAAACCCCAGTCAATCTGGGGTAGTAAAGAGTGAAGATGGAACTGGAAAGGGGCTGGAGGGGATGTGAAGGGCGTAATCTCACCCTGGCCAGTCACAGTGTGAATCCAAAGCTTTATTTGTCAGGTACATTTCTCCATACAGCAAGCCGGAGCCTTCACCCGCTACACCAAGCGAGGGGGAGCAGGGGGGCTGACCCTCGGGGGGGAGGGGGTGTTTCCTGAAGCAGCTGAACGTTGTAGACGGGGGGCATTTCAGATGTGCCGTCGGTGTGTAGAGGCTGCTGTGGCTTTATCATTGCGGCGAAGCGCGCAGCTGGGGGGAAGCACGTCTTCTGATGTGGGAGCCAAGCCAGCGTGTGATTCTCGCTGTGACTCAGCTGCCGTGAGACCCTTCTCTTGTACAGCAGGCAGCACCGTCAGCCCCACAGCTCCCCTCTGCCCCAGTGCCCCGCGGCCAGCAGGGCAGCAGTCTCTAAGTGGCACTGGGGCAGGGAATAGTGTGTGTTGTGTCTTAACTCCCCCTGCCCCCCCCCCCCGCCTCAGCCCATGGACTCAATGCTCAAAATCTTGGAGCCAAATTTTTGCAGAGGCTACATCCCTCGAAGGCTGCTCCCTTTGCAAGGGGAGGGGAGGAGGTGGCTGCATCACACGCGGGCCCCTTGCTATCCAGGGGTGCAGGAGCAAAGCAGTTAGAATTTGCTTCCTGCAAGTGTGTGAAATACTGTCATGCTCCCAGCACAGGATGGGATCTGCCCAGCCCCTCGGGGGGGGGGGGGGGGGGGTCCTCCCTGCAGCAGCCACGCCCCTCGCAGGGGGGCCTGTGAAGGGCACAGTTGGGCTGGCATTAGTGGGCAGTGGGAGTGTAAGCTCCCCCTTTCTGAGGAGCACTCAGCAGCTGGCCCAGGAGAGACAGGAGCTTGGCCAGTTCTCCTCTCCCACCTCCTGTCTACGGTGCAGTCCACCTTGCAAACAGGGTCCCAGCATGGAGCTGGATCTCAGCTGGGTTTCAGGCCACAGCTGCCTGCGAGATGCAACACGTGCCAAACGCTGCCTTGGACCCTCTTTATAGGCATGTGTGGGAACTGCGCGGTGGGGTTGGCCTGGCCTGGCAATTCTAGCTGTAGCGCACCCAGGGGCCTTGGATGTGCGATGACAGCTCCGGCTCGGTGCAGGAATCTCGGCCCGGCTGCTCACACTGGCCCCAGCTGCCTAGTTCCGAAGGCAGGCGTCTCCTCAGCGAGGAGGGGCCATGTGAGATCTCTAAGCCGCTGTGGTCCTGCCCAAGGACTATCCCAGCAGTGCTGGAGTCGCAAGCATTACCGCTGGTGCCACACGCCCTGGGGCAGAGCACAGGCACGGGCCAGCAGCACTGAGTGGGTAGCCAAGGCTGGGGGGGCAGAGGGGAGGAAATCGCTCTCAAGGGGTGAGATTGAAAGTGGAGGCTGCCCGGGGGGAGGAGAGGGAGGGGTTGGGCTGGCAGCAGGCAGGGGAGAGTTGGCTCAGCAGCCTGGCGTGTCTCCAGCTATGCCCAGCCGTGGGCCTGGCAGTGCTGCACGGCCTGGAAGGGAATGGGGAGAGGAGACGTTAGAGCCAGACGGGATCCCCTCCAGCTCCTGCCCCTCTGTGGCCCCAGCCTGGCTCCAGCTGGGGTGACCTGCACAGGCAGGAGGAATCTGGGCCCCAGTGATGCTGGGAAAGGGGCCCCCATGGACCTGGAGCAGGTCTTGTGTCCCCCCTCCTACTTGGAGCTGGGGTGGAAAGGGGCCTCCCAGGGGAGTGAGGGGAGGCAAAGCTGAGTGTGCATTGGATGGTCCCTTGCCCATGTGCCTCCCCCCCGGCACGGTACTCACCTGGCACTGCTCGGCAGTCTCCAGGCTGGAGCACCAGTAGGCTGGTCCCAGCGTGCAGCCCTCGGCTCCGGGAGCAGGGCCCGTCCCAGCCTCACACACGCCCAGTTCCTGTGTGCGGGTGGCAGAGAAAGCACAAGGCCCGTCAGCCTCAGGGGCAGGTCGGGGGCACAGGGCAGCCGGGGGGCAGCTCCCCTCTGAGTGGTGACGGAGGGAGCCCGGCTGGGAGCCACAGTAGCTGAGAGAGTCTCCCAGGATTTTCCTTTCAGGTCCTGGTGCCACCTGGCTGGGGCAAGTGGCCTGGATCCCTGGCTGGGGATGGGGGGGTGACTCCTCTTACCTGGCACATGCTCTGGGGGTCCCAGGCCTTCGGCAGCAAGGTTAGCAGCCGGGGCCAGTGCCACTCCATGAAGCTCTTGCACTGGGGAGGGAGGAGGCGAGTTAGTGTCTCCCCCTGGTCGTCTGTGCATGGAGCCCCAACCCCCTCCCCACTGATGCCCTCCTGCCCCCTGGGCGCTCCTTGCAGATCTCAGGGGCACGGCTGGCTTCACCTGTGAGGGGCCCTCTCTTGCAGAGAAACCCCATGGGGCATGGCCCCAAGGGCAGGGAGCTCAGACACTAGCACAGCATGGACCCCACCTTCACAGAGAGCCCCTCGTGTAGACCCTCCAGCCCCCTTCTGCCCGCCAGGAACCCCACCCAACATGTCACATCCCCCGGCACCGACAGCCACATCCATGGGAATGGGACGCTGGGGAGGAGCTGGGAACTAGGAGCCATTTGGGGAGGGCACCCGATGCCCCTTGGCCTCATCACTCCTGTGTCACTGCCAGCGGCCTGGGCACCCACCTCCTGCCAGCCCAGGTGGGCACTGCTGCAGGCCCCAAGCAGAGCTGCCTCCACGTCTGCCACAGTGCTGTTCGCCTGCACGGTCGACTTCGCCAGGCCCATGACAGCAACGCAGGCCTGGCACTCGGCGCTCTGGGCAAGGAGCGGCACCAGGGGTGGCTCTGCAGGGGCAACAGGGAGTAACATGAGAGGCACAAAGACTGGGGGCAGCGTAGCAGCAGCTAGAGGCAGGTGTGAAATACACATGAGCCCCAGGGAACGTCTCCAGCCAGTGCCCTGGTCCTACCCCCAGGGGCCATCAAAGCCCAGGACCAAGGCAGCCTGGCCAGGACAGCATTACAACGCAGCTTATTTATAGCCTTGCCCCATCCCAGCATGCCTTGGTGCCCCAGGCTCCACCTCCCGGCATCACTCCACACTACGAGCCCTAGAATGCCTCAGTTCTGGGCTATAGCCATGACAGCCTAGTACTGGGCCGGGGAATTGCCGTTGAAGGGCCAACACCCTGCTCTCTAGTGTGTCTACGCTGCAATGTAAGCCCCTGGCTTGAACCTGGGCTCAAGCCTAACCCCCCTTGCGTCTACACTGCAGTTGTGCTAACCCAGGGCCAGATCCCAGGTCCCTGCAGGGCTGGCAGGTCCGAGCTCGAGTTAAGCTGGTGGGTCTGCACACTGCAGTGTGGACACCAGAGCCTCAGG